GTCTATATTGCTAAAAATTCCACGATTCGTTTTTTCGTCCTAGTGATGCATTACTTTTGAGCGCCACTGTATATTCACCAGGTTTGATCCTATTCTGTATTGTGATAAAAGCTTCGGTTTTGAATAGAGATGTCGTCAGAACTATGCGGCTATGCCGTAACCAGTTACGACAAAATTATCAATTGATTCCAAACTTCCCAAATTTTGTCAGATATTAATCTAATATTCGAATAAGTTTAGTCTAATATCTTTTCTGCGAAATAAATCATGACGTTGATTTGCAAACAACAGAAAGGTCGGCCCGGTCGACCTGCCCGAATATTATTGTTGTCAGTTCCGGCCCACAGGTTTTCATCGGCGCGTATCACTTCATTTACTTCATTCTTTTGAATGCGGCAAGATTTACTGACTCCGAAATGCTAGAATGTACATGTATTGGATCTACCCCAAAATCCCGAATATCGAATACCAACATCCCGAATGGCCAAATCACGTCCCGAAATATGTAATAAAAAACACTCATAGTCACGTCTAGTGATATCAATCGACAATCGTTTAATCGAATCGATTATGTGTACATGATGGTGATATTTTTTATGTCGTATACTGAAAATAGGCAACCTCCAAAAATAAGAAGCTTTTGATTTTAGAAGGAAATTACGATAAAATAATAAGTCCTGTAAATAAGAAACTCTTGACTTTTTGCATTATACATTTATTAAATTCTATAATAACATATCTCAGAAGCTACATATTCACATAAAAAAAATAAAATCTTCATATTACCAGTAGATATTTTTACATTTCAGTGGGATATTTTATGGATTTTATAGATCACTATGCTAGTGTGCATTATGGCATAATAAATCGGGACATCATCAAAAAGTCTCAAAAATAAGAAACTTCCTATTTTATTTTCGAAATGTCTATTTTCAGGGCTCTTATTTTCAGTCATATACAGTCATAAAAATAATGTATCGTAAAAAAAGTTCTCACGAACGAAAGTCCATTTAAAGAGAAAAAAAGTTAAAAATCATATCTTTAATAATACATCAAATCGCTTTAAAAAATAAATTTCGTCAAAGATTTAAGATTGGAGTTGCAAACAGTAAAAACGTTGGATGATAATGGGGTGGGAGTGAGCATACAGGGTAAGTTATCTTACTGAGTTAATTGAGTCGTTGTGCTATCTGAAGTTGATGCCACATCTGGATGGAATTTGGAAATCGAAAGCTTTCCGTGGCCAGTTTTATTCAGGTGTTCCTGCACGATGATGCTTAGGCCCTGGGAATTTATGGTGAATAGGATACACGATCCAGCGAATGAAAGCCCTTCGTGGCTACAGACATAACGACTGTGAACGTTCTTCCTGGCTCTTGACGATATAACGCAAATATTCATTTTTTGTTATTTTAAAGACGACCAGGTGACAAAGAGAAGATATACACAGGCGTATTAATCAAATCCCCTTTGTCATCCAATGCAAGAATTGGAAACGAGCAAATATTGGTCAAAAGTCTTTTATGTATCTTTAACTAATTAATATCAAACATTAACAGGTCATCCTGTTGTCTATGAAATGGAGAGGATGTTGAATGGGGAGTCGAATGAGACATTGGTGTTGTCACGGGGCCATCAACAAAGAAGAGTTTCTCGCCTGATGCGAGATAAGCTACAAGAACATCTAAATATGCTATTATTAATACTAATTTAATTTCAGATGTCAGAGGTCGCTGGTCGACTAATATTTTTTATTTTTATTTATTTTTCCGTATATATTTTTCAAAATATTTTTTGATTTTTTTATTTAATTGAACATTTTTTTCATAGGTATAATTTCGAGATACGATTTGATTGGTTTAACTTTTTAAATAATCACGTGATCGACACTTAAAAAATTTCAAAGTTAATCGAGTTGAAATTGTTATGTAAAGCAAGCATATACTTGTAACCTTTTTTAGTTTTCACATCACACGAAAAAATTTTACGGCAATACGACCACCAGGATTCAGCTTTATTAATATCGATATAAAGAAAAATAAAAATAAAATTAGACAAATAGGATATAATTCTTAGGATAATATTAATTGAAAAATTAAAGAAAAATATGTAAGAAAAAAATGTACAATTAAATAAAAAAATCAAAAAATATTTTGAAAAATATATACGGAAAAATAAATAAAAATAAAAAATATTAGTCGACCAGCGACCTCTGACATCTGAAATTAAATTAGTATTAATAATAGCATATTTAGATGTTCTTGTAGCTTATCTCGCATCAGGCGAGAAACTCTTCTTTGTTGATGGCCCCGTGACAACACCAATGTCTCATTCGACTCCCCATTCAACATCCTCTCCATTTCATAGACAACAGGATGACCTGTTAATGTTTGATATTAATTAGTTAAAGATACATAAAAGACTTTTGACCAATATTTGCTCGTTTCCAATTCTTGCATTGGATGACAAAGGGGATTTGATTAATACGCCTGTGTATATCTTCTCTTTGTCACCTGGTCGTCTTTAAAATAACAAAAAATGAATATTTGCGTTATATCGTCAAGAGCCAGGAAGAACGTTCACAGTCGTTATGTCTGTAGCCACGAAGGGCTTTCATTCGCTGGATCGTGTATCCTATTCACCATAAATTCCCAGGGCCTAAGCATCATCGTGCAGGAACACCTGAATAAAACTGGCCACGGAAAGCTTTCGATTTCCAAATTCCATCCAGATGTGGCATCAACTTCAGATAGCACAACGACTCAATTAACTCAGTAAGATAACTTACCCTGTATGCTCACTCCCACCCCATTATCATCCAACGTTTTTACTGTTTGCAACTCCAATCTTAAATCTTTGACGAAATTTATTTTTTAAAGCGATTTGATGTATTATTAAAGATATGATTTTTAACTTTTTTTCTCTTTAAATGGACTTTCGTTCGTGAGAACTTTTTTTACGATACATTATTTTTATGACTGTATATGACTGAAAATAAGAGCCCTGAAAATAGACATTTCGAAAATAAAATAGGAAGTTTCTTATTTTTGAGACTTTTTGATGATGTCCCGATTTATTATGCCATAATGCACACTAGCATAGTGATCTATAAAATCCATAAAATATCCCACTGAAATGTAAAAATATCTACTGGTAATATGAAGATTTTATTTTTTTTATGTGAATATGTAGCTTCTGAGATATGTTATTATAGAATTTAATAAATGTATAATGCAAAAAGTCAAGAGTTTCTTATTTACAGGACTTATTATTTTATCGTAATTTCCTTCTAAAATCAAAAGCTTCTTATTTTTGGAGGTTGCCTATTTTCAGTATACGACATAAAAAATATCACCATCATGTACACATAATCGATTCGATTAAACGATTGTCGATTGATATCACTAGACGTGACTATGAGTGTTTTTTATTACATATTTCGGGACGTGATTTGGCCATTCGGGATGTTGGTATTCGATATTCGGGATTTTGGGGTAGATCCAATACATGTACATTCTAGCATTTCGGAGTCAGTAAATCTTGCCGCATTCAAAAGAATGAAGTAAATGAAGTGATACGCGCCGATGAAAACCTGTGGGCCGGAACTGACAACAATAATATTCGGGCAGGTCGACCGGGCCGACCTTTCTGTTGTTTGCAAATCAACGTCATGATTTATTTCGCAGAAAAGATATTAGACTAAACTTATTCGAATATTAGATTAATATCTGACAAAATTTGGGAAGTTTGGAATCAATTGATAATTTTGTCGTAACTGGTTACGGCATAGCCGCATAGTTCTGACGACATCTCTATTCAAAACCGAAGCTTTTATCACAATACAGAATAGGATCAAACCTGGTGAATATACAGTGGCGCTCAAAAGTAATGCATCACTAGGACGAAAAAACGAATCGTGGAATTTTTAGCAATATAGAC